GATCCACCCTAGCAGTGAGTACACCACAGGTGATGGATGTGTGGGTGATTGGATGGATAGGTGGCTGGGCCTCGTGAGTAGATGTTTAAGCGGGTGGATCAGTGCATGGGTGGGTAGATGAGAGGACAAATGAGTGGTGGGTGTGTGGGTGAATAGAAGGATGAGAGGATGTGGGTGGGTGAGTGGACAGAGGAGTGTGTGTGTGGTGGGTGAGTGGATGGATGGATGGGTGAGTGGATGGATGGATGGATGAGTGGATAGATGGATGGATGAGTAACACAGGCATGGATGGATGGATGGATGGGTGAGTGGATGGATGGATGGATGAGTGGATAGATGGATGGATGAGTAGATGATGGATGGATGGATGGATGGATGGGTGAGTGGATGGATGGATGGATGGGTGAGTGGATGGATAGATGGCTGAGTGGATGGATGGATGGATGGATGAGTAGATGATGGATGGATGGATGGATGGGTGAGTGGATGGATGGGTGAGTGGATGGATGGATGGATGGATGGGTGAGTGGATGGATGGATGGGTGAGTGGATGATGGATGGATGGATGGATGGGTGAGTGGATGATGGATGGATGGATGGGTGAGTCGATGGATGGATGGGTGAGTGGATGATGGATGGGTGAATGGATGATGGATGGATGAATAGATGGATGGATGGATGGGTGAGTGGATGGATGGGTGAGTAGATGATGGATGGATGGATGAATGGATGGATGGATGGGTGAGTGGATGATGGATGGATGGATGGATGGGTGAGTGGATGATGGATGGATGGATGGGTGAGTGGATGGACGGGTGAGTGGATGATGATGGATGGATGAATAGATGGATGGATGGATGGGTGAGTGGATGGATGGGTGGATGGATGGATGGATGGGTGGGTGGATGATGGATGGATGGATGGATGGATGGGTGAGTGGTTGGATGGATGGGTGAGTGGATGATGGATGGATGGGTGAGTGGATGATGGATGGATAGATAGATGGATGGATAGGGCAGATATACATCAGGGCCAGAAAGACTGGGTTAAAGCATCAGTTTATGAGAGTGTTGGGGACAGGCTTCCATGGTAGGAGGACCTGTGAGCAGGAATCCAAGAGCCACAGGGAAGAATGCATGAGAAAATAGGAACAGCCAGTGTGAGGGCCCTGTGGTAGACTCCACAACACCTTTGTGTTTCTGGTTCTCAGCATAGATGGCAATATACCATCTAAATCATGTGACAAGCTGTCCCCACAGCCCTGGGGGAGGGGTGCTGCTAGCAGCCTCTCCACACTCACTGTGAATAGGCCTTTTGTTCTCTTCCGGCTGCCAATGAAGAACCGGGCTCCTCTTACTGATAGGGTGGGTGGGAAGGGAACATCAGCCATTCTGAAACATGAGTGAACAGTACTAGTATCAGAAGAGGAAGAGCATACACCCCATTTGCTTATAAATATAGGGGGTGGGTATCACATGGGTAACAGGTGAGAGAATCCTGGGGCAGTTGTCATGACAGGTTCCATAGCAATTAGAGGTTCAGGGCCTGCAGAGCAGTACCCTCTCTGAGACAAAACAGGACACCTTGCCCTTCTGGCTCTAGTGGCCCCAGGGGCCCCAGCTATGGCTGCATCTCTCTACCTTCATCTTCCTTCCTGTTGCATCTGAGCATGCTTGCTGCCTTTCCCCCACCTCTGGTCTCTGCCTCTTCATCAGGAGCTGTCTCACTCAGCCGACATTATCTTGACGTGGTTTAAGACCCATTTGCATGTAAAGGCACATTCATAGTCCCTTGTGGATATGAGCTGGGGCACTCCAGGACAGAGGCTCCTGCAGGAATGCACGGTGAGCATATATATGGGGCCCTCTTTCTACCTCCTGGTGAATCCCAAGGACCTTCTGCATCAGGACCACAGCCCACACAGCCATTGTGTGCTTTCACACAGCCTGGGGAGTAGGATGGAATGATGGGTACAGGTAGGAGGGAGGTGTCTTGCTGGAGACCCAGGAGCCTCTAGAAAGTGCTGGTTGTGATTGATGTGAAGGTTGAACTCACTGAGGAAGACAGGAACATAGCAGGCCGGGGGCGGGGGGATTTGTGGCCAGAGCCTCTGTGTATCATGACATCCTGTCTTCTCCTACAGCTTCTGCTTCCTCCAGCCTTAACCACCTGCTGCAGTACACCAAGCTCCTGGCCAAGGGTACCAGCTAGCCAGCCCTCCACCTATAGGCACCTCCACTCTGTGCTAGGCACCTGACCCCTGAGCTCAGCCTGAAGCCTTGGTGCTAGCCTGCACTCTCAGCCCAAGGGCTCTAGATCTTCCTTGACTACAGTCATTCCACATAGGTGATTTGTGGCTCCGATTGGGCCCTTCCATTTCACAGATCCATGTAGCTGCTCCATGAGCCCTGGCCCTATCAGGGACCTACCTTAGGGGCTGGTACCTAAGGCGTTCTCCATATCTTGCCCCAGGTAAAGGATTTGGCAGGGTAGGGGCAGGGAGGACTATGACCCACCCCCCTCATAGCACAGTAGCAGAACAGCCATGGAATGGGTTGCTCAGATGACACACAGCATGGCCATTCACTGGGTTGCACATCCTGGTACCTACATGTCTATTGGGAGGCCACAGTCCATAGTGAGGGAAAGGGATCCTTGGGACACAGCCAAGATCAGCGTGTGCCACTGGCTGTCCACGAGGCCGGGGCTCCTGAAGGATACACGGGTCTGCCAGGCACCAGCCAAATCCTCGGTGAGAAATAGGAAGTGCAGCTGTGTGGGTGAGTACCTCAGGCCGAGCAGCAGTGTGTCCCTCTCCTCCGCCAGCAGGGAGAGCAGGTATTCATTCTTCTGTAGAGAGGAGGCCAGAGGTGGGGCAGAGCTCAAGGAAAGGGAGGAGGGAAGGACCAAGAAGGATGGGCAAGGGCAATGGGGCGAAGTGGATGCGAATGAAGGGGAGAGGAGAGCAGGGCCTGGGAGGGGTGGGGAGAGAGGGTGAGTTTAGCAGGAGAGTGGGCGGGACTGAGAGGAGGAGGTAGGGCCAGCCAGGAAGTGGGTGGAGCTGGTGGTACCCTACCCAGTAGCACTGCTGGGTGGAAATTCAGTGTACCTCCCCACCCCAACCCCCAGCCAGGCCAGGACAAGCAGCCTAGTCCATGTGCACAACGGAAATGTTTTCAACCCCGGAAAGAGAAATAGGTTCTGACCTGCTCCCTCATGAAAGAGCCAGGAGGACCTCACATTGAGGAAAACAACCAGGCCAGAAGGACAGGCGCTGCACCAATCTGCTTAGCTCCACAAAGCCTCAGATTCACATAGACACGACAGGGGTACTAGGGGTTTGGGGTGTGGTGGGGGGTTGCGGAGCTAGCAGCCAGTAGTTCACAGGATAGCTGAGATTTGCTATGTGGAATGTGAATGAACTCAATGCGGCCGAGATGTGCTCACCAAGGTGAACACAGTAAGCTCTCTTGCTATGTGCATTTTATGACAGTCAGCAAAGCAGTGTGACAAGTCTGTGATCTCAAAAGCAAGCTTGTCCTTTCCACTGTGGGCTATTTATATCCACACATCTCACCAAGCCGTCCTTAGCCAAACACAGGCAGTCTGATGAGCTAAAAGGTAAGCTAGCTCTGACAGCAGTTGCTGCGTGCATGCAGATGTGTGCACACTTACTATTGACTGTGCATGCAGACGTGTACACACTTACTATTGACTGCATGCCTGCAGCTGTGTGCACACTTACTATTGATTGCCTGCATGCAGATGTGTGCACACTTACTACTGACTGCGTGCAAGCAGATGTGTGCACACTTACTATTGACTGCATGCATGAAGCTGTGTGCACACTTACTGTTTTCCTTAGCGAGGCTCTGCCCATGAGAATCTGCATGCCTGTTGCACACACCTGTTCTAAAGAGGGGGAGGGCCTGTGTGCCCTTCAGAGTGGGCTCAATGTGCAGTGTGCCTCAGTCACAGTGTGGGACACTTGCTCAGGTTCCTTTGGGAATGGGGGCTCCCTCTGCTCCTGTGGCTCTCACAGTGGGGAAAGAGTGAGTCTGTTTCCTGGGAACTTCCAGGAAGTGGTGTGGAGCTTGGAAACTGACAGATGACAGAACAGAACCCTCCCAGTGATGTCCAGGAGATCAGAAGCCACACTAAGCTGAGGGGGAGCTAGGGGTAAAGAGGTGAGAATGGGGAGGTATAGAGATGGAGTCCCCACTCCCTACACACACACCAGCCTCACACTGGCTTGAACTGTCAAGTGCCCAGCCTGTCGGTTTTGGATCAATCACTCTTGTTGTGAAGAAGCACGATGACTTATGGAAGAAAGAGTTTATTTCAGCTCAGAATTCCAGAGGGCGAGTCCCACAATGGTGGGAGATTGATGGCAGCAGGTGAGTGGAGCAGGATGCCAGAGACCACATCTCTAACCACAAGCAGAAAACAGAGACCGTGGACTAAATTAGACTCAAAGTGGACAAAGCTATAAACCTTGGAAGCCATCCTCAATAACGTACATCCTCAGACAAGCCTCTAAAAGTTCCAAAACTCCTCAAACAGAACCATGCACTGGAGACCAAGTCTTCAAATTATATGCACTTATTTGGGACAATTTTTCATTCAAACAACTATTGACCCACTCTGGGGGAGGTGGCTACTGTCCTTCCTAGATACTGAGGAGATATTCCTGGCTGAGGGGATGGACATTTGTTTGAACCACATGTTCCAGAGAATGAGAGTAGATGCAGGTAGTTAGAAGAGTTTATTGAAGCCATGGGCTACTGACAAGCGGTGTCAGGGTCAGATAACCAGAGCAGAGGGACAGTGACTGGAGGATCATCAGACATCCTGGGAAGCAGGAGGAGAGGTCAAGTCACTAAGGACAGGCTGGTGGCTTCATCCTGGGGGACTGTATATCCCAGGTCAGGATCAGGCTGAGAATGCTGAGCGGGGACACAGGGAGGGACCTGAGTCAGCTGGCACCAGGAACAGGCCCATCAGCAGCTGGACTTCTGGCCTGAGGAGAGGCCACAGCAGGCCTGGCTGGAGCAGGCAGGGCGGCAGAGCAGGGACATGCTGGAGCAGGGCTTGCAGCAGCTGGGCTGGCAGGAGGAGGCCCAGCAGGAGGAGGTGGGCACACAGCAGGCGGGTCTGCACACAGGGCGGCAGAGCAGGGACACGCTGGAGCAGGGCTTGCAGCAGACAGGCTTGCAGCAGACAGGCACACAGCAGGATGGCTGGCAGCATGAGGGCTGGCAGCTAGACTGCTGGCAGCATGAGGAGGACCCAGAGCAGATGGGTGTGCAGCAGACAGGCTTGCAGCAAAGAGTCAGACAGCAGGGTGAGGAGGTGCAGCATGAGGGCTGGCAGCTAGACTGCTGGCAGCATGAGGATCCAGAGCAGATGGGTGTGCAGCAGACAGGCTTGCAGCAAACTGGCACACAGCAGGGCTGTTGGCAGGGGGAGCAGGGGCAGCAAGCTGGCTGACAGCTAGACTGCTGGCAGCATGAGGGTGTGCAGCAGCTGTTACAGACAGATTGGCAGCAGGGGCTGGACCCACAGCTCACTGGGGTGCAGACAAGAGGAAGGCAGGGGGGTGGGGCACAGCAGCAGGGCC